ATGACCCCCCGCCTCCCGAGGAAAGCCTCCCAGCAGGACTAAATGAATTCAAACTAATAGAGACCCCCAGCCACTCAGTGAGTAATCTCCCTGCCCTGACACATCCCTGCCCTCAGCAGCATCCCAGCCACGTGTCTGGGCAGGAACTCGCTTGAAAATGTACATTTGTTACTTTTGGCTAAATGTGGAGCTTGTTTTTAACACAGGCTCTGTGTTTTGCACTTAATTGTTGCAGTGTTTGTGCTCAGAGGGGGCCTAGAATAACTCTGGGAACACAAGTCGGCGAGGCACATGCCACAACAAAAACAAAGGCCAGTGTTCAGAAGTTGTGAAGGCGCAGTGTTGGACTCAACTACTGTTTGATACTCCCCTCAGCACTTGGTCTGAAACGTCTCAGAAGACGGTGAATAAGAGAATTGTGCCTCGGTGAAGATTTTCAGTTAATGTCGATTTGCCAGATAAACACAAGAGCCTGCCTCAAGTCACAAGATTCGGGTCTAGGTTTCACACACGCCAAGGTTCAAGGGGGTTTGGATCCACAGGGCTGGTTCAGGCCCCATCTCTAATTAAAACAATTTTTTGCTTTCATTACAGCAGGGCCTTGAGTCCTCAGCAGAGGCTGGGAATCCTATTGTATTAAGCATTGTCCAAACATAGTACGAGTCCCAGCCCCAAAGAGATTCCAATCTAAATAAGACCAGATGGACAAAGGAAGTGTTATCTCTATTTTACAAACAGGAAAGGAGGCACAAGAGAAAGTAAGGGCCAGACTTTCAGAAAAACTCAGCACCCACGGTGCTTGAAAATCTCCCTCCCATTGTGGGTGCCAAGCTAAATGACTTGTCTAAGGTCACACAGGAACGTTTGCAGCAGAGTCTGAAATTGAATCCATGTTTCTCGCGTTCTAGTCTAGTGCCAGATTGTCACTCCTCTCTTAAGGCAACATTCTGATCTTCCCTCTCATAACACCTCAGCTTCCAACAGCGCCAACGTCAGTCCAAGAACAACATCACGAGAGGATGGAATCCTAGTCACACATTTCTTCTGGGGCAGAAATGACACGGAGAGGGTAGCCTGGGTCAGTACCAAAGAGAGAAAATGGCAGAACAGTGCCCCAGTCCCAAAGGCCAAGGACTTAGGGAGGAGAAGAGGCCCGGGAACCTGAAGGCCTGTTTGGCATCAGCCAGAATGTACCCTCATCTATCTTTGGTTTTTAAGGAACTGCCCACGAGAGATGAAGTGAGGCAACTGACCCCGGGATCCCCTTGAGACAGAACAAAGCAGAACCAACCCAAAGGGTTCTGGGCCATTGATGCTATGAGGAAAGGAGAAACATGTGACTGGCCAAGCTAAAGAAAAGGATACAGAAGGGATAATACTAAAGGATTTACATCCTTGCCATTACTGTTGTGATGAGGCAAGATGAATCCAAGTAGGACAATTTCCTTGGGAGCCAACTGATGCCGCTTAGCCCCCGGGGTTGGTGATGAAAAACACAAGGAACTTCTTTCCCCACAAGGAGTGATGCTGACCTGGGACCAGGTCTGCGCCTTGTGCATCAATCTGCAGAAAACTAAGCCCTCAATTCTTGGCGTGGTCCAAGAAAGTAACTTGGATGTTCCTTGCACCTGGATCCAAAGGCAACTGTACTAGGCACGAGTCTGATCTTTGGACACTGCTGTAACGCAAACATTGATTTTTTTATTTCTTGGTTTGCTAAGGAGCCTTGACCATTGAACTAAATCATGGATCATTTAAGCAGTGATAAGACAGGGCAGTTCTGGCAGACAGCAAGTGACACCAATGTAACAAAAAGAATTTAACCCACAGCCTTTCAAAGGCGAAGATACTTTAATGCATCCAAAGTAGTGGGTTGTAGCCCACGAAAGCTTATGCTCTAATAAATTTGTTAGTCTCTAAGGTGCCACAAGTACTCCTGTTCTTTTTGAGGATACAGACTAACAGGGCTGCTACCCTGAAACCATACTTTAATCTGTCAACCCAGTAAAACTGGCCTTTTTAAGGCACGTCAGACTTGCACATTTCTTTGCACTCACGGTTTCTTTTAGGGGGAAATTGGGAGCTTCAGGATCATCTTTCAGCAACTGATTCCCTGTGGCTGTTGCTTCCCTAGTCGCATTTTCTGCCTCCATCACAAGAGGACACATCCTGCTTTACCAGGGAATGCCAAGACAAGCACCGACTGCCAGCAAAACGGGTGAGCCTTCCCTGTCCCGGTTTGGGGGTGACTTTAACCACTGCAGTCCCCCCAACTCCTTGAGGGAGGGAGAACTCAACTGGACCCCAATTTCCCTCAGTTCACCCCACATCAGCTCCACTCTAGCCCCTCGCTCCTTACAGAAATCCCCATCCGGATACCGCCTAACCCCTTCGCTTCTTTCCTGCCCCAGCTCCCCAACTCTTCTAGGGGGACACCCAACCAGACACCCCCCAACCAGCGCCCCCCGGGGCTGCTCAGAGCCGCAGCCCCTGGGCGAGAGCCCCCGCGGCAGGCCGCCTCCTTACCACCGGCCCCCCGATCTTGGCCAGCTCCTGGGTCTCCTGCCAGGCGCCCACGGGCAGGAGGTTGCGGAGCCTCCGCAGGCAGCTTCCCCGCAGCGAGGCGGGCTGGGCTGGGCGCGTCGCGGCGGCGGCGGCGAGGACGGGGACTCCCTCCATAGCCGGGAAGGAGCGAGGTCTGGGCGGCCGTGTTTATATAACTGCAGCCGGGAGCCTCCGCCGCTTTCCCGCCCCCGACAGCGGCACCTCCCTCCCCGCCTCTAGCGCTGACGGAGCCGGGGGTCCCGGCTGGGAGCGGGGTCCCCGGGCCGCGAACCCCACCAGCCCCGGGAGATCCCCCCCCACCCCCGAGGGTCCGGCCACGTGGGGGAGGCTCTGCTGCGGGGACCCGCCGGGCCCGACCTGGCCACGTGCGGGAAAGTCCTCCCCCATCCCGGCCTGCAGGCGCCCATCCCAGTTCCCCGGCTCCGGGCAGGCGCCGCCGCCACCAGGGGTCTGTCACTGCACCCAAACCCCAGAGAGACCCCTATCCCCCTCGGCTGTCACTGCACCCCAGCCCTAGAGAGACCCCTATCCCCCTTGGCTGTCACTGCACCCCAACCCCAGAGAGACCCCGCCCCCCTCTGCTGTCACTGCACCCCAACCCTAGAGAGACCCCTATCCCCCTCGGCTGTCACTGCACCCCAAGCCTAGAGAGACCCCTATCCCCCTCGGCTGTCACTGCACCCCAAGCCTAGAGAGATCCCGTCCCCCTTGGCTGTCACTGCACCCCAACCCCCAGAGAGACCCCCTATCC